TATATGGCTCTGTGGTGGACTCGCATTTCAAGGAAGGCACAGCATGGGTTAAGGTGTCGTTCGAGCTGAGGTAAACGGAATTAGTGTTATGCAAGACCTAGCCTTACAAAAGAAGAGTATACCCTTATGCTGCGTAGCATTGCTGAAGAAGCAAACGGGAAATCCCCGCTAATTATCGCCGGTGACTTCAATGCGTGGGCAACAGAATGGGGTAGCAGAAAAACAAATAAAAGAGGCGAGCTGCTGCTTGAAACTTTTGCCCAACTCGGCGTATCAATAGTAAACAGCGGGTACACATACACCTTCCGCAAAATCGGAACTGGGTCAATTATTGACATAACGCTGGCGAGTGACTCCTTGGCCCAAAAAATTAATTGGAGAGTTAGTGAGGAGTATACCCACAGCGACCATCAGGCAATAATAATGGATATAACTACGAGGCGACCCAAACAGATGCCAAATCTGACAGGTCCAAAATGGATAGACAGTATGTTAGATGGAGAGGTCCTAGCCTGCATGATGGAAGAGTTCCAACACAAAGCTGGCTCGGTAGAGAGCGAGGTTGACCACCTGGTTCGTAACCTCGCATGCGCCTGTGATGCTGCTATGCCTCGAAGAGTGGTGAGGAAACAAAATTCCCCATGCTATTGGTGGAATAACGATATAAAAAATACTTAGACGTCAGTGTCTGAGTGCTAGACGCAGAATGCAGCGTAGCAGAGGGAGGCCAGACTTCAACGAAAACCTACAATCTCTAAGAACGGCGAGGAAGAGCTTAAAAAAACGCCATAAAAGTAAGCAAACGTGAAAGCTTTAAGAAAATATGCGAAGAAGCGGATGTAAAAACGTGGGGCACGGCCTATAGAGTAGTAATGGCAAAAACTAAGGCAAGAAAGCACCGAGTATCACGTGCCCAGAAAGGCTGCGCGATATAATAACGACTCTATTTCCACAAAGGGAAGAAGTCGTACCAAACTGTACACGATACGAAATTGTTGATGTCCCAGTTATTACGGGAGTCCGCATGCAAGAAGATCCAAGACGGAAAAGTCCCTGGGCCAAACGGAATACCCAACAAAGCTTTAAAAGCTGCAATTAAAATGAGGCCAGATTTATTTGTAAATGTGTTTCAGACTTGTCTTAATGAGGGCATTTTCCCGAAAAGATGGAAGGTCCAAAACCTAGTCCTAATACCAAAGTGAAATAAGCAATCTGGGGAACCCTCGTCCTATCGGCCCATATGCCTATTGGACACAATGGGAAAAATCCTCGAAAAAATTATTTGCAACAGGCTTACATCGATCGCAAAAGAGAGACGCACACCAGTTTGGCTTCAGCAAATCTCGTTCAACAATAGATGCTGTTAAATCAGTGGTTGACATAGCCAAAGAGGCCATCGAAGGGAAAAGGTGGCATGGAGGCAAAAAGGAATACTGTGCTGTTATAAAGCTAGATGTGTAAAACGCATTTAACACTGCGAGCTGGCAGCACATAATGGAAACCCTAATCAAAATGGAGGCCCCGAATTACATTATCAGAATAATTAGGTGCTATCTCTTCGAACGGGAACTAAAATACCGGAGCGACAGAGGAATAGAGGCGTACAGTGTTTCCGCGGAGGTACCCCAAGGATCCGCTCTCGGGCCTCTCCTGTGGAACTTAATGTACGACGAGGTTCTATGCATCGATTTGCCTCCTCGGGCAAAAATAATAGGATTCGCAGACGACATAGCCGTAGTAATAGTAGCGAAGCATATACAGGATATTGAAAGGAAAGCCAGCGAAGCAATAAAGAGAGTGAAGGCATGGCTATCATCAAGATATCTAGAACTCGCTGATCACAAAACAGAGGCAGTACTGATAAGTAGCAGAAAGGCCATAGAGACAATAAGACTCAGTGTTGGATCAGAAACTATAATATCAAAGGCCGCAATCAATTATTTGGGGGTAATGATTGATCGCCGTTTAAACTTTAAGGTCCACCTGGAGTGTGCAGCAAAGAAAGCATCGAATTTACAGGCATGCTTATCTATAATGATGCCAAATATCGGCGGTCCCAAACATAGTATAAGGGTATTGCTTAGTAGAGTGGTCAGCTCAGTCTTACTCTACGGTGCTCCAATTTGGGCTGAAGCAATGAGCCTAAAATATCATGCGAAGATACTCACATCTGTGTATCGCCTAAGCGCACTAAGGACTATTTGTGGATTCCGAACCATATCTGACGAAGCATCCTTCGTAATTGCTGGACTGATTCCCGTAGATATCCTGGCAAACGAGATGCAAAGAGTGTATAAGCGGGTATCTGCGGGGAGTACCGTTTAAACCGAAAAGAAGTTATAGAGCAGGAAAGATGTCGCTCTATGGAGATCTGGCAAAAGCGTTGGGATGAATCGGAAAAGGGTAGGTGGACTCATAAGCTTATTCCATGCATTAAAAACTGGCTGGAAAGAGCTTACGGAGATTTAAACTACTACTTGACACAGTTTCTCTCGGGACATGGCCCCTACCGAGTACTAAAAAGATTTGGGCATGGAGATTCCCTACACTGTCCGACTTGCACAGGCCTTGCTGAAAACGCGGAACACATAGTATTCTTTTGCCATCGCTATGCCCCTGAAACCCGAAATATACTAAAGGGTAGCAACATTGTAGACTACATGTTAAAATCAGCAGAGAACTGGCATAAAATGTGCGCACATATCTCTGGAATTCTTAAAGATCTAAGGCGATCTGAACAAGCTAGAACCAGTTAAATAACGTAGCGAGCCTGCTGGCCAACCAGCCCCGTGAGGTAATACCTTAAATGGCAGTGCCGCGGGGAGAGTGGTTAGTGGAGAGGTTTTAGTACGCAGGTGTAGCTGTGAGGCTGCAAGTCGTGCATACTAACTACTATGCCGGTATAGTAGTACTCATGAGAGTTCCCTCTTCACGGGCGTCATCCCAGAAAAAAAAAGAAAAATAAAAGATATATGTATTTATGTTTGTGCACACAGGTCACTTGGTAACAGCGTTGCCGTTTTGATACAATTGTACCATTTTTGATACTTTTTTCCCTAAATTTTAAGATTTGATACTTTTTTGTTCACAAATCCTGCATTTTGATACTTTTGGCTGGCAGAAATTAATTTTTGAAAACTATGAATAATGTTGCTAGTTTGAGGGCAAATAATTTTGTTCTTGTCTCAAAATTGTATGTGTAGATACATATTTATAAGTTTGAATTGGTAAAATAGAAATTGAAAAATACTGTATTAAGCTGAAATTAGTCAAGAACGTAAACCTACCGGTACGTAAACCCGAGTCAGCTGACACGATCTATCTTACCAAAGCGCCATGTAAATGAAAACTCAACACCGCAGAATTTTTCTGTAGTTGTAGCCCGTAGCGCAGAAATCTGCGGAATTTAGATTTTTCCGTGTCAGCTGATTTCTCCTTCTTTAGATGGTTGCCACTTCGTCAGTTTTGCAGATGGTAAAAAAGTTATAAGTTCCTATTCGAAATATGTTTAAAATATTTGAAATTTACTATTAAATAAGGTTTTTGTTGAAAACTAAGTAATTTATATTTAGTTACAATCTATTATAGCACGAAAAATTGTGGTTGAAAGGGTAAGTTTATGAAAAGGCATTGAAGAGTGGCAACAGTGTAGTAAGCAACACTGAGGGCTCCAGTAATCGACAAAATTCTGCGTATACAGACTGCGTTTAAATATACGTTCTGCGTTCTCGACTAATTTCAGCTTTAGTTTGTGCAAAGAACGTAAATCTATAAGAATAGACAACACGTTATAATTGTAGCGAGTGTGAACATCAGGAGCGTGCCTTCTCTTTTGCCCAAATACGTTTTTTGATTGGATGAAAAGAGAAGGCACGCTCCTGATGTTCACACTCGCTACAATTATAACGTGTTGTCTATTCTTATAGATTTACATTCATTGGTTTTTGTTAAAAATTAATAACCTTATTGTCTGTAAATATTTTAATTGTACCTTGTCATAAGCAGATGAGTTCGTTTTCGCCGTAGTTATGTTTTACTGAGCGAAATTTTTGGGCGAAAGTTGCCGCCGTCCTCGCACTACTGTGCGAAAATTCGCCGTTCGTCGGTATTGTGTTTCAACGGTAACACCCAAGAATGATAGAATACAAAGTTTGCGCCGATAGGGGTGCAAAAATTTTTCGTTCTGCGCATCTACGTCATAATATAAAAGTTGTTGTTGGCGATCTGTCAAATCGCATACAATTTCGACGAAAAAAAGTAAATATAGCATAAAATTTAGTTGAGAGTCTAAAATAAAACAATCTGGTGGCAATTTATTGAATCGAGAAGACGGTAAATTTATTTTGTGTTTCTTTTACATTATTTATATTATTATTTTATTTCAGGTAGTGGGTAGGGCGTTCAAATAAAAATTGCATTCTGTGGCCGCCGTTGCGCTGGCAAATGGAACGAGTAAGATTTCCAAATGAAATTGAAGCCACAGCAAATAGTGCATAGCTCCAAGGCTTGGAAACAAATATAGAAGCTATACGATGCCAGAAAGACTACAGAGAATCGAAGAGGAAATACAATGCCAACATAAAATTAAACTGCCAAGGCATAAACAAGAATTTTTACCTGAAACTGTGACGCCTGCCCACAGCATCAAATAAGGATATCGTTCCAATGAAACCCAATATTAACGACGTATTTTGACGACGATGAACTCTTTGCGAACGCTCCGGGTTTTCATCACCGGGCTTGTAAATTGATGGCACGGAGCCTCGTTTCAACAATCTTCTTTTTGCATAACCTTAGAAATGTTTTAAACACTTTCATTAATATAAACACAATAAACGAAATAAATAAACATCCTACCCATTTCGAACTGCAGACTATTTTCAAAATCTTCACTTGCAAAGTGATGCATGCAAATATAGCAAGTTTTAAATTGGAAATCCTTGCTTTGCCGGCAGAACTGGATCCACTTTTTCCTAAGTTCTGGATCTGAAGGAAAAGTAAACAAACTGCACTCTGCCGCCGTTTTTCCACATTTCGCAACTGCGCACTTCATTTTACAACGTTTTTATTTTATAACTTTAACAAAAATATCACAAATCAATACGTTTTCCTCGCAAACCAATACGCTTCCCACCAAAAATTTTATATTATGACGTCAACACTCGAACAGCTGATTTGTAAACAAGAGTAACGGACCTGCGCAAAGCGCAATCTCTTTATTCTATCATTCTTGGGTAACACCGACCTACGAGCGCACGCGCCGAGAAGCCAGCGGCAAGCAAACGAGGACTTCATTAGCTCTGCCCTCGCGAGGGCGTCGACGCGAACGAGGCACTCATTTGTTGTAGCAGACGAGTAAATGAGCGAGGCAAATGAGGCAAGCACAGCAGGCAAATGGGTTGTTTGGTCAGCAAAAATTTATGGGACAAAAATTGCATCAACTAAGAATTTCGAGTAAAGGATTGTATATACACATGCAGATATGTATATATATATATATATCCACAAATGTATGTATTTATTTGTGTATGTATAGATATGCTCTCATGGACAGAAGAATAGATGCGTGCTATTTTGGCTAGTTTTATCTACTAGGTAGGTACATACATATGTGCATACTTATCTATGTAAATACATGGTGAAATGAACTGAAGGTGGCGCATTCCCGAAACCGCTACTTTGGTTTTGCCGACTTTGACATTTATGGCAATACGTAAACAAACTTTTTGTTTAGAAACAAGTGCAAACGTATTGCAAACGTATTGTGCACTTTCAAGCGAAAAATCGAAGTAATTCGCGCGTTCTGAAGTAAAAAACGTTTTATTTGTAATAAAAACTTTATAAAAATGTCGTGTCGTGTGTTGAATTGCAGCAGCCGTAGGGTTAAAGCCCCCAAATGCAGTTTTTTTTGTTTCTCCGCGACGACGCCTTGGCCAGAAAGTGGGTAGAGTTCTGCCGGCAAGTGAAGCCATACAATTTAGACACCAGCGTAATATGCATGAAGCACTTTACGGACCACTTTTAAACTCGACATGTTAAGTTGAAAGCGTTGAAATACCACAATTTACAAATTAAAATCGAAGGTAAGCAAGCATCGACCACTTTCTGCAGGAAACCACGCGCTGCGACAAGATATTATCACTTTTTTGGCACCTGCAATACAAACCCAAAAATGATAAATAGTTAATCAATATGACCTATTCTTTTTAACACATTTCAAGAGTGGTTGTATATTTTTTGTT